ACGTGGGATCAAACGTCATTATCCGACAGGGATGCTGGAATGTCAGACAACTCTCAGTTCTCTTATTCGGTCACCGAAGAACAGGAGCAGAGACGACCCAACCCACCGAAGCTATCAGCATCCTGCATCCTCCTACCCATAAAAGGCTTATTTTGGGTTCAAGAAGACTTACCACCTGACTTCCCCGAATGGTCGCCTATGGGATCTGTCTCACATGCGGCACGCCGAAAGCCCGCTAATCCCGTACCTGCCGTCACACGGGATTATATGGATCCGTCAAAGTCTGGAATATCCCGTTCTGACAGCTCTGTGAAACGTCCCGAGCTAAACGAGCCAACGGAAGTGAATGTCAGAAATTCGCTGCGGTGTTATCGCTTTGCGCATCCATCTATGGGCGTCGAGCTTCTGTATGTGTTTCCTGATGAAAGCGCTGCAATGGCCTGTCTCAAACTCTGTGAGGTAATTTTTACAGGTTCGATAGCTCATCAGTTTATTTTGTGGTACCGGCTCCGCTGTTCCCTCCATGAGAATACTTATCTCGTATGCTTCTTTGGTGAGCTCCCTTCGTTTTGTTCGAAACGTTTGGAAAATACTCAAATGCCCTGAGAATGGAAAGCCGTTTCTTTGCAGGGTGGCCCAGCATTAAGAAATGAAAGTTCTGAAAGCTTGTGAGATGCTCCGCAAAAAACGAATGAGACGACCTCCATGCCTTAAGGAGGGTCAAGTTTCCTCATGATCTCTCTCTTTCTGGATAGTTCAGCTTTCACTACACACACACACACAAACGGTNACACACACACAAACGGTCATGTACAACTATTAACAAAAAAGAATAAGTCAGATTTTGAATAGATCGTTTATCTACCTAAACGCGAGGTCCGGATAAACTTTGAGTGAATCTCTCGTTTATGAAATAGTAGGCTATCTTGGCAAATTTGTTCCAGTACCTGGATACAAGCGAATAACTCAGCTTTCACGTTACAGCCAACTTAATCATTTGTTATCGAGTGCATATCTGAAATGGAGATGTATTGTTCCAGGATCACAAATGTGGCGCAGTAGGTCATAATGACGGTAGTGCCTCCTCTTGGTTCTCGGCCTCAACCTTTCAATCTAGCGTTCGCCTCAGAACTGCCAAACATGCACAACGTATATTAGACGCCAGATCGAACAAAACGGGTTGCGTTTAAAGTGTACCAGTGGATAGCAATCTGGAAATTCCGATGCCTTCTGGACTTGACAGTGGCGACCAGCATTCGATGGATAACGAATTGTGATTTGCTGTTTGGTCCACACCTTCTGGGCTCGCCTTGATGCTAGGCAGGTGAGCGCCCCAATCTTGCTAAGTGCATGCCGGTTAGGCGCCAAAACGATTTTGGTGCGGGATTTTGCCTAGCATCTCCCCCCTTGGGCGTTTACGTAACTTAGAAGTCGGGGGTTCACTTGCAGTGAGTGGC